ACAGCCAACCGGGGGGGGAACCGGCCCGGTCGACCGGCCGGTAGGACCGGTCCGGTTCCGGTTGGGGGAGGACCCCCCGGTCCTACCGGGTTTTTAGCACTGGTAGAAACGTTGAATTTGGGTGCTCCTGTAGTGGGCCGTACGTTTCCTTAAATCGTGGCTTGTTAACGGGCACAACTTTAGGAAGTATTGGTGGTTTAAGGTATATACTATATAATTGATAGTAGGGGGCTAAAGCCAAAGGGCCTGGTGGCGCCCATGGTGGCGTCTTCAATCTCTCTGTGTGGCATATGAAAAAGGGCTTGTGATCCAGAGCGAATTACCGTCTTCACCCGAATAGAACACCCGGTCATTATCGCTGCATCTGGACTGAATTCTGTGCCAAATACAGCTATAATGACCGGGCATTCTTTTTGGGTGAAGACGGTAGTCTGAAAATCCGTTTATCCCCGGAATGTTCGCCGAATGATTTATGGCTCCAGGGCCTTCGGCCTCAGGGATCCTTCAATATACTATTGCGCACCATGAAAGATACCCATTATAATATTATTAAGGGTCGTGTGAGCACTACCCCCCGGTTTGAAGCCATGTGAATAAGTGGAAAAGTGGCATTCATAACTAAGTTACCTGAAGTTGATTACAAAAGGCTCTAACGAGAGCCTGTGGAATTGATTCTGCACTCTGGACATCCGGCTTACTGCGAGTGAGACAGGAGAAGATCATGCCGGAAAAGGACAAGTGAGGGGATATTGCTAGCACGAACTACCCAATATCCTGGTTCGAGTTCACTATTTGACGCGTAGTGTTGATAGCTTTGTTACAAAAACTGAATTGGAATTAATTGCCCGAGTAAAAGGATTCGCACCTTTGCATGTCGTTATCAAACACCGATGCCTTTCCATTTGGCTATACTCCAATGAGATGACGTGCGCGACCAACGGCCTCAATGTCTTAGCTTAGAATTGTGTTGTTGTTTTTTAACTATTTGAATACACCACACAAACAACAATTGAATACTTATGGCAGGACCGTCAGAACGTCTATCAATTCTTACGGTGAAAGATTGCAGAGCGCTCCAAACACTTGAAGATATTTCCAAGATCATAAATACAACGGAACCGTTGTGGCCTGAGGACAGGACAAGCATTTGTCCATCCCAACCCGAGTCCACTCACGAAAATTTGAAGCCACCGTCGATAAGGGGGTGAACGGCGGTTGAATCGGTTAAACTTGCAGACTGGGCATGCAACTTTTTTCAATAGGAGGTGTTGAAACTTGAAAGTGGAAACTGTTTTCTGCCATGTCGCAAATCATTTTACCTGTCATGCGTTTCGAGGGCCTGTGTGGCAATGAGAAATCAGCGAAAATCTCGTTTTCGACAGTGGTTGTGGAGAGGCCCTCAGTCCATTACGATGATTACACCTCCAGGCTATCCTACTGGATGCCAGGGCCTACTAAGTTGCGGGAAGAACTGGTACCACCTGCCTACCAAATTCTACTTCTACGTGGCCGGCCTGCTTTCCCCCGAAAGTCCTCCTTGTGGCCAAATTTCAGTCCTATCCCTGCAACTAGATCTGTTTTACCAGCCCACGCCTTCCCGCGATTGCAGAAATGCAACACGAGAACAAAGTAAGCACACGGACACAGACCCCGACTCGGCATTCATCAGACAGACACATGGATAAACAGGATTGTCAGCAAAACACTCACCCTCTCAGAAATCTCAGCAAATCAGATAAAAAGGCAGTGACTCTCTCAGCAAAATGCAGAGTTCTCTGACTTCAACTGACTCTCTCAGCAAAATGCAGAGTTCTCTGACTTCAACTGTGTGAATCATTGAATATTGAGTTCAACTTGGATGCAATGTGAAGACACTCAACAGTCTTTTGTTGGTGTTATTGCATTCGAGAGCAGGTGGATGACTTTGATGCCTTCAAAGAGCGCTTCTTCTGCAGGCATGGAACTCGACAGGCGGAGAATGGCGCATTGAGACCTTCATACCAGCGAGCATTGCTGTTTGCTGACAACTCAGGTGCTGACATTGTACTGGGTATGATCCCTTTCGCAAGGGAGCTATTGCGGAATGGCACTGAGGTGAGCTGGTCCATCCCCCCTCCTCTCCTCCTCTCCTTCTCTCCCTTCGCTCCCTCTCTCCATTCTCTCCCTTCGCTCCCTTCGCTCCCTTCTCTCCTTCTTTCCTTCTCTCCTTCTCTCCTTCTCTCCTTCTCTCCTTCTCTACTTCTCTCCTTTGCCCGACCCCACCCGACCCACTCCCCTCGTTTACCCCTGGAGAGGCAACAAGAAGACGATCATGAAATGAGTTTCAGCTATCTGTCTGGCTTCCTTATCTGGGCTTCGATTCCCAATTTCGGAACATCCACATGCTTACACCCCTGCAATCTTCTCCTTCTCTTCCTGTCAAGCCCCCCCTCTGGCCTTCAATAATCAGCACACAATGGTCTATAACAGACTACAAGGTAAAATCACTACTATTGATGATAACAGGCTGAGGTGGAAGAAGTGGAACAAAGAATGGCCAAACAGTAGCTGGCACTGGATGAGGAGGTGAAGGATGTAACAGACACACGCTTGAGCACGGACCTAAAGAGTGGCACTTCTTTTGTTATCAATCCGTCATCTTTTTTTATCAATCCGTCGGGATACCTTAGAGCGACAAACGGTCTTTTCAAGGACACACGTTATCAAGGGACACCCGGCAGAGCAGCATAACTGTTTTCTGAGAGAAGTTATGTACGAGAAGAACGGAAAACTGACAGTCAATCATTCCTATGAGGGAGCAATCAAGGCTGGTCAGGGATCCTTTGTCCTTGACGGAAGCAAGTGTTCAGTTTTGAATCTTTGATCATTGTATAATATATTTTGACTCTTGCTGGTGGACAAGGAACCAAAGTGATGCTCCCCAGAATGGTCAAGGAGCCAGGACCACAAGAACCTCTTTTTCCGGAGGAGAAAAAAAAGATTAGTTGTTGGTTTGGTTGTATGCTATTCGGTTGGGAAAAAAGTAAGCTACATTCTTCTCTCAATTTCACCTCACACTATCTACCTACCACCGCTCCTAATTATAGTCATACGGGGAACCCCGTAGCAGCCAGAACCGTGTTCACGAGAGAACATGGGGGTGCTGATCCCGGCCTGCGGGTGGGCGATTCCGGCCAGGGAACAGCCGGTAGCATCAGGGACCATGCCAACACGACCAATCCCTGTGCCTCCCCTCAGCTCCCTTTGACCACCAGTACATTTCCCAGCTATGTTGTTTGCTTGGCCGTATACGCTCTGCGAACTTCGGGGGTCGGGGGCACCGTTGATGAATTTTCATCAACGGCCTGCCGAGCAGTGCCGGTTCCCCCGCCCCCACGACCGAACACTGGGAAACATACTGGTGATTCAAGGGAAATCATATGTAGCCTTTTCTTACAGAGGCCTGAAGGGGGTCCACTGAGTCAACTGCCGCCACCGGTCCGAACACGAGCAACCAGCTCCCGTGACCGTGCATTTGGACCTCACGTATACGACTACTTTATTGGGTCCAAAGGACCGTTCCCCTTTCTGCGGTTTTCAGAATGGCACCCTGAGGATTAGCCCTCGCTTGTGTATGTGGTTGTTGTAGGGTCGGGGTGCAGTTGAGAGAAAGCACTTGCTTACGAATGTGCTTTGTGGGGACCATTATTCTTGTGTGTGTTCAATTTTGCAGGTGGTCCTTGTCGCCAATGCTCTTCCAGCGATCAATGATATCACGATAAGCGAATTGCACGGTGTTATTTCTGCTGCTGCCGAAGTCAGTTTGTTCTCTTACCTGTTGTTTTCATCTTCTCCCTCCTTGTGTAATCCTTTTTTCTGCAGATTTGCTCATGTCTGCGTAATTGCTGTCTCTCTATCTCACCTCTCTATCTCACTTGATGTTTCTCTATTGCTGTCACTTGTTGCTTCTCCTATCTTACTTGTGCTCATGTATTTGCTGCCATGCCCCTTTGTTTTTCGACAACTCGTCAAAATTATGTCATTGGTCTTCGAGGCAAAGAAGGGGAAAAGTCCTCTGGAGCCTCTAGTTGCTTCCACACAGCTTATTCAGATTGTTCTCTTGCCCTCTGATCAGACTAAGTTCATTTGTTAAATGCATTTACGGGTTCACAAGTGGTTAAAGGGGAACCCCCCATTATAAAAGAAAAACCCAAAGCTCTTTTTAATCAAACTTGTCACCCATACATAGAGTTGAACAGTGAAATTCAGAAATAGTGAATTGTCTACCGTGTGGGCGCAGGGAACGCAGCCGTAAGGTACCCAAATCAATGAGACTAAGAGCTAACGCG